CATAAGATTCAAAGCCTGACTTAATGAATGAATTATTATTTGAAATTTTTACTGGAACAAGATCAGTAGTTAAAGACCAACATATAAAAATTTTAGTTTCAAACAATAAACACACGAATTTTAAAAATTCCTACAAGTTTCTGCAGTTTATCGAATTTCATTTAAAACCGAACCATTTTGAACTCTAAAAATTCCAATCTTCTCACATCATGATACTACACATAAAACAAGCATTGTAACCAAAAATCAGAATTTTTCAATGATCAACCTATTTATCATAAATAAAACAACTTTCTGCAGAATCTGAAAATAATTCTTTTACCCTATGAAACTTATTCTACAAATTCTAAATATTTTACACAGCATATAAACATGGCAAATTCATAACATATTCAAAGTTTAGCAAAATCGGAGTACGGACCAATTTAATATGCATTTAACATATTTCTGTCCAGAAATCACATTAATTATGTAAAATAGCTACAGGCCATGAAAAATTATGCAATTTTTACACAACCTGGAGAATCAATACAGGACATGGCATATAAAATTTCAAAGCAATCGAAGCAGTATACAAATTTTAAAAATTCAAACACTAAAACAGCGAGCATACGATATCAATAATTCATATATGACTCGATAAGACTCGAATTTGTCCGAGGCCTTCACTTAAGACCAAGGACACATTATGTTCCAATACCCACAGCAACTAAATACGATTATAATGTGTTTTCGTTCGATTCACCTGAACCGACGACGATTACACATAATACGACAATAATCATACAAAACCAAAACAACGTTCACATTAATTCATTGAGCACGTATAATTCATAGGACACGATAACACATCAAATTAACATGAAAATTAATGCAAGAAGGATCGAGGCTCGATACCGTTCTCGGGAAAAACTAAAAGAAACGGGACGTAGGACACGAACAGGGTTGCCGGGCTCGACGAATTCTCTCGTCTCGTCGGAAGAGGAGGGCAGCGGGCTGAACAGGGTTGCCGTCGAGAGCTAGAATTCTTCGAACAATGGTTGGGTCTCGCCGGTGCGCACGGCGGTAGGCGACGATCGGGCAAGGGTGGTCGACGGGAATCGAACGCGACCGCTGGGCTTGCTGCGTTTCTGAAGGTAAGGAGCGTGGGTGAAGGTGACGACCATGGCGGCTCGGCGTCCGGAACTCGTCGGCTTCGTTTAATGCTCCGACGGAACTCGACGGAACTCGACGATCACGATAGGCTCTTCGACGGAATCCGACGGGTCCCGAAAGCCGAAGTTGAATGTTGACGGAGGAGGTTACCTGAGAAACCTTGATTTGCCCTGCTGCAGAACCCTCGTGCTGGACTCGCGGAGAGGGAAGGCTCGCGACAACAAGAACTCGGCGATGGAATGGGCTCGCTGAAAAAAAAAAGACTCGCCGGGACTTGCTGATGGTGGCGCGACGATTGGGGCCTGCGATCGGGTAACGGGCTCGCCGGGACTTGCTGATGGTGGCGTGACGATTGGGGCCTGCGATCGGGTAACGGGCTCGCCGGGACTGCGTCACGGGGAGGAGCGGGTTCACGTCGGGAGTGATGTCGCGGCCTGCTGGAGAGGAAAGCTCTCGTCGAACTGCTGGGGAAAAAGAGGTTTGAAGGAGGAAGAAGAGCTGCGGGTCTCCTCTGCTCTTTTGCTGCGTGCGTGTGTATATATATATATACATA